TCTTAATAAGGCATTGCAGCAACATGCCTATCCTGTTCCTGTGGTCAGTCATATTCTGGCCTCCCTCAAGGGGGGGGCGCGTTTTTGCAAAGCTTGACCTAGCTCAAGCGTATCAACAGCTGCCTGTTGATGATGATGCTGCCATAGCTCAAACTATCGTGACCCACAGGGGAGCCTTTAAGGTAAAAAGGCTACAGTTCGGAGTGAATGTCGCTCCTGGGATTTTCCAATGCGTAATGGAAAACACACTACGGGGCATACCAGGGGTTTGCCCCTACTTTGATGATGTCTTAATTGCAGGAGACTCCACACATATTCTAGCTGAAAGGCTAAGGGCTGTCCTGTTAAGGTTCAGGAAAACAGGCCTCAAGCTCAAAAAAGACAAATGCAAAATTGGGGTGCCTTCTACTGAATTTCTGAGGTTCAAAATTGATGCTGCTGGGATTCACCCTGCTGAATCCAAACTAACTGCCATTTTAGAAGCACCTAGGCCAAAGTCTAAGGCCGAACATCAGGGCTTCCTTGGCCTCCTGAATTTCTACAATTCCTTCCTTCCACATAAAGCTAGCGTAGCTGAGCCTCTTCACAGGCTGTTAGACAAACAAGCGGTGTGGCAGTGGTCACAAACACACGAGGCTAGTTTTAATAAGGTCAAGGCCTTACTCACTTCTAACAGTGTCCTTGCACACTTCAACGAGTCCCTTCCTGTGTGCATCGCTTGTGATGCTTCCCCTTACGGGGTAGGAGCCGTCCTGAGCCACCTCAGGTCTGATGGAACTCAGGTTCCTGTTGCATATTACTCCAGAACACTGTCTTCTGCCGAGCGCAATTACGCTCAGATAGACAGGGAGGCTCTGGCTGTTGTTGCTGGAATTAAAAATTCCATGATTTTTTGTATGGCAGGCATTTCACGGTCTTCACTGACCATAAGCCTCTGCTTGGACTGTTTACCACATGTAAACAAACTCCCCAAATCATTTCCCCTAGAATGCTCAGGTGGTCTATTTTTCTGTCTGCATATGATTTTTCATTACTCCACAAGCCTGGGAAAGAGATGGGCCATGCTGATGGCCTCAGTAGACTGCCCCTGCCAGTAGTAGAAGCTGACCCTGCACCAGCTGTCAACATTCTTTCCATTTAAGCCTTGCCCGAGTCCCCTCTGAATGCCAGGGATGTTGCCGCTGAAACAGGCACAGATCACACACTTTCACGTGTCCTTTCTTGGGTTTTGTCTGGATGGCCCGAGCACTGCCCTAGTCCTGAGTTTCAGAGTTTCTGGTCCAAAAGGAACGAGCTTTCCACTTCTCAGGGTTGTCTGCTTTGGGGAAACAGAGTTGTCATTCCCGCCTCAATGAGGACTAGGACCTTAAATTCCCTCCACGAGGGTCATCCTGGCATTGTTCGCATGAAGGCCCTGGCGCGCAGCCACTTGTGGTGGCCTGGTTTAGATAAGGACATTGAGGCTAAGGTGCATGCATGCCACCTATGCCAACGCTCTCGCCCAGAGATGCCCCAAGCTCCTGTGCATAGATGGGAAGATACACAGTCCCCATGGTCTAGGGTGCACATTGACTACGCTGGGCCCTTTCAGGGCCAGTTCTTCTTGGTCCTCGTTGACAGTCATTCAAAATGGCTTGAGGTTGTACCTGTCTCATCCACCACTGCTGCAAAGACTATTCAGGTACTGAGGGGGATTTTTGCTGCACACGGGCTTCCAGATGTCATCGTGTCTGACAACGGCCCTCAATTTACTTCCTCCGAATTCCAAGCTTTCTTACAGGCTAACATGATTCATCATGCCACGTCTGCACCCTTCCACCCATCCACCAACGGTATGGCTGAACGCATGGTCCGCATCACAAAGGACGCCTTGAAGAGACTCACCTATGGGGACTGGCATCACAGGTTGGCTGACTTTCTCCTTTCTTACCGCACCACACCATCCACTTCTACAGGAAGAAGCCCTGCTGAACTTCTCTGGGGGCGCAAACTTACTACGAAGCTTGACCGGTTGCACCCGGACAGACTGCCTTCATCTTCCTCACATTCTAGGGCACCTAGACAACTACTTGTGGGTGCCCCAGTTTGGACTCGCAATTACGGGCCTGGTCATACATGGGTCCCCGCTTCTATTTCCAGGGTCACAGGTCCTCTATCCTACGAGGTAGCCCTGGACAACGGTCGTGTCCTGCGTCGGCACATCGACCAACTCCGCCCTAGGCGGGATCTTCCAGATGAGACTCCTGGCCCTTTTCCAGGGGGGGAGGGGGACCCTTTAGAGCAAAGGGAGGGGCACGAGCTGCTGCCCACCTCCAATGAGGGAGCCACAAACGGCCCATCCCAGGATTCCGCGAGAGCCCCAAACAGGAATTCCACGAGCCTACCCAACTACCAGGCATTCATGCCTACTCCAGCCAGGGAGTCACCCCGGGGTACAATCACTATTCACCTGCACAGCACAGTACTCCAGTCAGGGAGGATACCCGGGAGCATCCCAACAAATCATACCCCGCAAGAGAGCTGGCACATAAGTCCCAGAGTTGGCCTGACCTTACCCCAAGTCTTACAGGGGGTCAAACATACAGGGAGGTGGTCAAGGAACCAAGTCCCGACCGTAACGCCTCTAACCCAAATCAGGGAGCAACTGAGTTTTGGGAAGGTACAGAAACCCACACGAGCCCAGACACAGAACAGGGTTTAGGGAATGGACAGCCTCCTGACAGGTCTTGGACAGACCTAGGAGGTTCTACAGAGACGCCCAGCAGTGGCTATCACTTCAAGAGGCCCGAGGGCCTACAGCTAGGCAGGTCAACTAGGTCACAAAGTGACAGAAGCCCTGGCCTGACGAGCCCGGTGGGCAAGCAAGCAGGCCAGGCATCGGGGCACAGTCCTTGGAAGACACCAGGGCACAATAGAGAGAACAGGCTCACATCTCCCTTCAGTCAGGGAACTCCTGTCAGAAACCCAGAGCTGAGAAGGTCACAGAGAGCAAAGAAATCTCCTAAGTACCTAGAGGATTACATAACATTGCTGGCTAAACAAAAGCCAGTAAACAGTAGGAGCACTGGGGAGTAGAACATTGCATTAAGAATGATTATATGTTGATAGTAGTTTTAGCGCGGGGGTAAGGGGTGTTATGTCCCGAGCCTTGCAAATGGGCTCGGGGTGTTTGCAGGCAGTCCCGGGCAGGTGCAAGCTGCCCGGGACCAGACAGGCTGTCGCCAGCGCCGTACGCATGCGCTGGTGCTGGCGCGGGAAAAGTAACACATTGACCCGGGAGTTGCCTATATAAGAGGCTGCGAGCGTTTGGGCGTAGCAGAAGCCTTCACCTGTAAACTGAACACAGAATAAAAGAAAACTGGAGAACTACAACTGCTTCTCGTGTCTGCTTTTCGCCAAGGACTCAACACTAAGCATCAATATCCATACTTGAAATGTGAGCAGTACAGGGAATTCTATTGCCCCACAATCCCTGAAATTCACAGAAGCTTAAGAAATTAGCAGATTGCCAGTTGCAATGCATTTGCTGTTTTTAAATGAATTTTGAAGAAGCAGTATAGGAAATATACAGAAGATTCCTAAGAATGACACATACAGCCAAGAAAACAAACAAATGGATCATAGAAAAAATGAACCCAAATTTCTTCTGGAACAAATTATTAGACTCATGTTTTTCTATTTTAGACACATTATGTGAAGATCTAATTCTCTGGAGAAAGTTCTAATGCTGAGAAAGGTAGAAAAAAGAGAAGAACATGGCCAGCAGCAAAGTGATAACTGCACAATTGTGAGACCTGAAAGACCAGTTTAGAAACTAATCTTTATAGAGAAAATCTATTGATGTGGTTGCTAAGAGTTGACAATGACTTAATGGTACATAATCTATCTATCTATCTATCTATCTATCTATCTATCTATCTATCTATCTATCTAATGATTTCTCTCTCTCTCTCTTTCTCATCTATCATATTAATTAAAAATCCAAACATAAAAGCAAAAATAATGCACAAAATACATTAACCAGGCACCAAAAATGCATGTCTTTGAACATATACAAAAAATGAATATACATTTATACTTGCAGATAAGTCAAGAATAGGTTCAATTTATCTGTGAACCAAAATTCGTTTTTTTAAAGCCTGTCATGACCTTAAAATTGTACAGTTTTATAAATGATGCCTAACAGTTTATAATTTCCTCCTATTGCTATAGTTAAAAATTCAAGGGTTGGCTTATCTAAACATGACATGTTTTTATGGTATTTTACTTGAAAGTTTGAGGAATGGCTTATCTGAGTACAGATTTAATTTGCAATTATATATGATAGTTTAATACAAATTTTAAAAGAAATCCCATGACTGATTAATCAAACTTAAAAGAAATTTTGCAGATTCTGAAACAGGAAAATAGAAAGAAATTGAACTGTTTTGCCCATACTTAGATGCTTCCCAATCCTGTCAGTCCATTATTTCTTTAAAACAAACAAAGGGGGGGGGGGAAATACCTTTGTCTCTTCTTTACTGCATCTATTCCTATAGTCCCTGCCTTGTTAATCTCCTTGCTTGCCAACCATTCAGGCTGTAGTCACACCCACAGTGTTTTTCTTAGCCTAGCATAAGCTGTAACTCTCTTTCACTGCTTTGAGTCACATTGTCAATGAAACCCCTGAAGTGGTGAGAGACCGAAACTCTGACCTTGCAAGGCCTTTTTGACATGAGTCTGTTAATGCTCCTGATTGCTATATCCTAAGCTAAGGAAGTACATCTATATACTACTAAAACTCTCATTATTTTATCTGTTTGTACTTCAAGTTAGCCCAAATGGTGCATTATACTGCAACAATTTTGGAATTAAAATCCAGTAACTTAAAAGAATGCATAAAAAATCCAGGACCCGTGTAATTGAAATTTCCATGATGTTCAGACCAGTTTATTGCAAAGATGTGGCTGTTGCAATGTCCCTATGATCACCTGATTACAATTTCTGATGCTCCCTGCCAGCTTCCAAGCAAAGAAAATTCAATGGGAAAGCCAGCAGGAAGTCATTCCCATTCCCACCACTCTATGTGTGGTCACTTTATTTATCTGTTTAGGTAAGTAGATACTGATTTATTATTGAAGTTTGTCACCACAGTTACTTTTTCTAGTTATAGTATATGCTTTTCTTAGAGGATTATAGGAATGTTCAGGTAAAAATAAATGGTCAGCTTAACATTTAATGTTCACTGTGGCCACATCATATAATGCTACCTTCCTCTCAGAGGATGACCCAATGGGTTTCAGATTTGTCTAGTCATATTTTAAAGCAATATACAACATTTTCAGTTGTCAGTTTCAGCAGCCTGAAAAGCATGATTATGCCTTCATCTGGAATAGATTTGAGGGCCTTTCTATTCCATTAGAGTCAGCACCAGTTCTACCAACAGCCATATAATCAAGAGATTGGTTCGAAAGGCTGGAAAGCAGAAAGAGTGATCTGTAGGTGGACTAGCCCATCTTTCCCCCAATCTGCTGCCTTCCAGAAGTGCTGAAGTACAACTTCTGCTATTCCTTGCTGACATATCTATGCTGGCTGGAAATCATGGAGGCTGTGCCCTGCCATGTCTGGAAGACAACAATTTGGAGAAACTGGAACTAGAGTCTGAAAGCAGGGGTGAAGCACTTTTTTTCCCCAACCTTGATTCCAGATGAGAAAGTAGGAGACATTTAGAAAACTCTTTCAGTTATACAAAACATGGAGGATACAAACTGACACTAATTTATATACATTTTATAATTCTAAAATTGCACACTGTTTTTCCTTCTCATTGATAACCCCAAAGCAATTTAGAAGGACTGCTTCCCTGAGAGTTTTTACTTATGAATGAAACAATCTTGGGAGCATAAAGCAGATTATTACTATGTTTTGAGATTAGAGAAAGCCTGTTATACTGCAACCAATTTTGGTTACCATACTACAAAAAAGATAATAAGACATTGGAAAAAGTTCAGAGAAGAGCAACTAAGATGATCCAAGGCCTAGAGACTAAAACATGAAGAACGGCTGCAGGACATGGATTTGGCTAGTCTAAAGAAAAGAAGAAAATAGGGGTGACATGATAGCAGTATTCCAGTATCTGAAGACCTGCCACAAAGAAGATTGGGTCAATTTATTCTCCAAAGCAGTAGAGGGCAGGACAAGAAACAATGGTTGGAAACTGATCAAAGAGAGAAGCAACCTAGAATTAAGGAGGAACTTCCTAACAGTGAGGACAATTAACAGAATTTAACAATTAACCTTCAGAAATAGTGGGTGCTCCATCACTGGAGGTTTTTAAGAAGAGACTGGACAGTCACTTATCTGAGACGGTATAGGCTCTCCTGCTTGAGCGGGGGGGGGGGGGCTGGACTAGAAGACCACCAGCTCTATTCTATTCTAAAGCTGTAAATCTTTGTTCCTGCTCCAAACTGAGTGTGCTCTGAGGAAAGAGCCTAGTGAGGCTTCTCATTCAAGACAAATAGGGACCATGTGTGGGGGTAGGATGTGGAGAATCAGGATTAGCTGTGAAGGTGTGTGTCAGAAATTATAGCCCATGCTGTTGTCCCAAAATGGATTTGTTGTTGTTGACATAAATAAGGCACAATCGTGTGAATTATTCTATATTTAGTTTAGCCTCAAAATATTTCACAATTATTAGCAATCCTCTGAAATTCTTGTAGAACTTCCAGATTTTTAATGAACTCTGAATCTTTGCTTGCGACTTTATGTCATTTATGCTCCAAGAAAGACTTTTGCTGATGTTTGGATTTTGATTTCTTATCTTTTAATAATTCTCATACAGATCTGGAGAGACTGAAGCCCCGTGAATATACGTGGCCTTCAAAATGCTCATGCCATCCAGAAATTGTCAAAAGTTTCTACCAAATTGTAAGTTGTGTTGTGATAGAAAGGGAAATTATTAAATGCCTGAGTAAAGAATAATTACATTAACTAAACTTAATTTTAATTAATTAGAAATATAAATGAAATTATTTATTTTTTGTCTTTTACTCTAAATGAAGTCTTATGAATTGGCGATACGTTTGCTACATTATATTCCATTTTGCACACAATGAAATCCTTTTGGGCACGCCAGGAAACTTCCTCTGTCTGCCCTCTAATTTCTTAAAGTATTTGGGCAGGGGGCCAAACATACTTTCATGCTGAGAAGGAGGGGAGGCACCTACCAGGGACTGAACTCTCAGTGACCTGAGGATGGGCTGCTCTAGTATCCCCAGGGATCAATCACTGTTTTGTTTTCAGCTCAGAACCTTTTGGGTGAGGAATAATCTGCATTCCACTTGAGTAGTTTCATCTTTTCTGCATACCTCTCTGGCACAATCCAAAGCAACAGATTTCTGGAAAAGAAAAACAAATGCATTTAAGTGCTCAAAACACAATTCGTTGCCCTTGGAAATAAAATCAATGTCATCACAGTAGAGCAGAGTCTTTGCTTTTTCCTAAAATAAACTGCCCAACATTTTCTTAACCGAAAGCTAAACTCCTTCCTGGAGTAGTGTATTAATGGTCACTCTACAAAAATCAGGGTAAGGCTAGGACTAAAACCAAATATGTTTCAAATTCAATATAAAATAACAATTTCATAATGATTTTTATGTATCATTTTCTGCTTCACTGCATTATAAATTAAAATTTAGCAATAAGGTTTGTAACAGCTATACAGGCTGCATCCATTTTCATTGGGTGTGTTGGTTGGAGAATATTATAAATTCCTTCCTCTTCCCTTGAAGACACAATAATTAGATCCACTCAGAGCTGCAGCAGCTTGAATTTCAGCAACAATGTCTCCCCATCAACTATGGGGCAATATTGTGAACTGAAGCAATGCAAGCTCATAATAACTTTCAAATAGATGCATAATGTCCCAAGTGGTTTTTAGCACCATACAAAGGGTGCCAGACTATTCAGATGTTCAGATGTTGCAAACCTGATGGATGAAGCCCATTTCAAAATGTGTTATTCCCCAACAAGAGTGACATATTGTAATAAATTATGTCATCATTTCATATTTGTCAAGACAAATTCTTCCACTGGGCAGAGTGAGACAGTTATCTCAGATGCAGAAGTAGACATAGGATGATGGGCAGCATATACATTTAATAATGAATGAATGAATGAATGAATGAATGAATGAATGAATGAATGAATGAATAAGAATGCCCATACTTTGCCTTGTCCAACTACATGGCTAACCTTTCTGTTGCCATAGGAGATTCTGCCAGTGTTAAAGAAAGATTTGCATACCAATGTACTATGCTTTTGCACATGCAAGGGGAGAGATGCCATATTATTCATTGCCCCATATGAATGGGGGAATATCTTTGATCCCCTGAACTTTCAATCATCAATCATTCTTGATTTACAGTACATTTATTATATTAATTAGAAATAATAATTAGAAGGCAATACAGACTTGAAATATATTATGCAATGGAGGCATAGCCAAGGTATTGAACTATTGAGGTATATGTGCCTATGTTGCTCCATCTGCTAACTTTTCCTTCATTTATTCACCTTTCAACCCCATAATAATTTTGTTATCTTCAGGGGCATTTGAGCCCAATGTTATATAGCAGAATAAGATTTCAGTTTTCCTTTGGGTGACTATGATTTATTTCATTCATCATTTTATTGTCTTCTTAGGCAGATCTTAGAATGGCTGAATGTGTCCAGTGAATGCTAGCAGCAAATTTTGGGAGCAAACTTTCCACGCATGCAGGGAGCAGTGGGATTGTAGATACATGGCTGGAACATAAATTGGATTGCTGGAGTGAGGGCTTTTGATTGCAATAGTATCCATAAAGCAGAGGCAGAATAATAACAACAGGCCCTGCTTCCAATCTTATACAAGATGGGGTTAAGAGATCACACAGCACAACTGCAAAAAATTCTATGGGTAATTCCAGATAACCAGCCTAGCCCCCCCCCCCTTTTCACAGTGAAATAGCTTTTTCAGGTCACAAATTTTCTACTTCATGTACTGATAATGAAGAAAAAGTTGCTTGAAGAGAACCCTGAATCAGCTGTACATGATTTCTTAGTGTTGAAAGAAAAATCTTCATCAGTCCGAGCTGGGAATAAACAAAAAGGTTGTAGTTTATTGAGTAGCAGAACCACAAGACATGTGGCTCTGGAACAGCTGACCACATGTAGCTGGAAGTGATGGGTTTTTATATCTTCTTGGGCTTTTGTGTTTGAGGCTCTTCCTGTTCCTGTTGCATGAGCCTATGGCATGAATCTGAGCTTTTGAGTGTGTCCTTTTGGTATTCTGATGGTGGTCGGTTAATCTTATTATGTCCTAAAGGTCATGTCTTTAGAGTTTTGGCGGGGGATGTAGATTTTAGGGGTCTTTGACTTTCTAATCTCATCAGCTCCAACCTTCCTGGCCCTAGTCTTCCTGAATGAATCACTAAACCTGCATTTCTACAGAGCTGGTTTCTGCTGCGGCGAGTGGGGGGGGGAGAGAAGTTTCTGCCTTTTTAAAAATCTTCTCCATTATTCCTTTGGGGAAATATAATATTCTGGTTTTAATATTCCCCCAAATATTTCTTTCTCGGGGTGGGTTGCTATCCCCTACACCAGTTTAACCTACAAATTTGGTATGCCTGCTGCCCTCCATTTAAGTAGCAGCCAATCTTGCTCATTTTGTGCATCCAGACATGGTCAGCCAAATGCTACCATCTGCTGCCACATTGTCTCTTTGTGAATGAGAAGGTAACTTCATTTATACATACACAATTAAACCAACAGATTCAATTTGCACTAGCTCAGATGATTTTTTTTTCTCTTACGTCCAGGAAGTTGTTCTTCATGCTGATATGTCATTTGTCTGTGAAACATAGTTGTTCTCTGCTGCAATTACATATTTTAAAATGGCTGCCAATAGATGTAGACTGACAATATTGTGTTTGCTGCACCACCTTGTGGTGCATCAGGGCTACACGCTGTTCTAAAGCAGTGTGGGATGTTGAATGACACATAATAAGAGACATTTTGTGCCTTCTGCCTCATGAGTGCCTGGAAGGAAACATCTTTTATGACATCTCATAGGGATTGTGAGAGGCCTCATTCTCCATTTCCTGTAGGTGTCGCTCTTGTATTTTCATACTAGCTATCTAAGGGAAACTGCCTAATAATCAGCCAATGCATTATTAGTCCATAAAGAATATGATTTGCCCTGATGTAGACAACAACTCATATCAGTGTACCTGATGCTTTAATTAAAATCTGATAAAAATATACTCTTTTTTCATTAAACAATTCATTTTTATCACTTCCAAATCAAATGTATTTTGAGAAAATGGCCTGATTATCTCCATTATCCAATCCCAGAATGTTTGACAGCAACATTATTGTAGAATTAGGCCTTCTGATGAAGCCCAGGAAGTATTGTAAAGCAGAAATACATAACTCTGGCCCAAAGCTCTCCAAAGCTTTGATTAAAACTCAGAACCACCAAACAAGGTGTATTTTTTATTGAATCAGAAAAGAAATATAATTGAATATGTGACAAATAATTGTATCAGTTAAATTAATACTTTTTGATTAATTTATTTTATTATGTTTAGATTCAATTGAATTTTATTTTTTATCTGACTCTTCTAACAATTATCCTCATCTAAGATTTAGATTTTAAAATAATCTAGTTTTAAGATCTATTCAACATAGCTTGAAGAAGAAGTTGCTTTTTCTATAGATTCTTGATCCATTTTTCATCCAAAAGTCTGAAATAAAACATCATTGGGATTCCCTTCATATTCTGAAGGTAACTCCCAGGATTTTTGCAGGATGAGCAGATGAAGAGTGTGAAACTTGCAACTGGTCCACTGACTCACCAGGATATGAGGTGATCATAACTTAGTGGTAGTGGAATAAAGTCATTTTGCATGTGTGAAAAGGCATTACTCTCCCTTTCAAACTCTACATCATATCATATTTCATAAATTGAACTATTAGGTCGGGAGCCTGAGTTTTATAGGTAATTACTCCTAAATTCAGTGGTGTTCATTCATAAGTAGATGCTTTGGGATGGAATTTGAACATGGCACTAAGTAAAAGAACAGATACAGGATGCCCTTTTCCTGGTTAGCTGGGCAGGTCTGAATGTCTTCTTTCTTGACAATCCTACTAGGTAAACAAAACTAAGAAATCAACACAAGGCTAAAGCTACTTTTATTGTGATGTGCTGTAAGAACATAAACTTGCAAGTCTGATTGTCATATAGCTCATCTTCCTTCTTACAGTTCAGTGAATTAGGAAGTATTCTGAGCTGCATTTGAACAGATGGAAATTCTGGACTTAAATAAACTTTTCTCTGATTATTTCCATCAAGCTATATTTTTTTATTCTGTATTCTGTATTCTCCTCCTCTCTTTAGCTGGGCCTTGGGTTGTACTGCCATCAGATTTGCATTATCTATTTGCATTGAGATAAAATACCAGATAGAAGCAGGTATACAGGTGGTCCTTGGCTTATTTTATAATGAACCTGGCCATCATGGTCATAAGTCATGATGGTCGTAACATGGGTTAGTTATGTGAAGACATGATTTTATTATCTTTTTTGTGATGGTTGCTAAACAAATCATGGTTATTAAGCAACTGCATGGTTGTTAAGCGAATCCCACAGTTGTTAAGTGAATCAGTTCACTACGGGCTCGGTTTTGTTGAAAACCGAGTACAGTTAGTGCCAGTTTTTGGTAAATTGTCATAAAAGTGGCCGTGTTTCTGAGCACCCGAAGTTTCACTGGCATGACCTCAGAGGGAGTGGTGACTATCGTAACTTTGAATCTGGGTCATAAGTAGCCCTGAGGTAGGCCTATCATAACTTCAAATGGTTGCTAAGCAACAAATCCTAAATTGAGTGTAGAGATGGGGGCCAGGTAGAGGTCGTGAGCCCCTTCCAACGCCTGCAAGCCTCTTCTCTCTACATGATCTCATCCATTCACATCACCATGGCAATGTGGGAAACTATCCCAGGCTGGTACATGATATCACCTGGTTCACATGATATCAACCTGGTTACATCAACAGGATGTAGTAGAAACTGCTCCCTGGCTGAGGCCTCCTGGCTAGTATATTCTTAAGGATTGGCAAGGGGTTTCACCAATAGAACTGCTGTTGCTATGCTGATGCCATCTTACTTTATGTTATTTGAATACCTGTATATAAACACTGCAATAAACACTGCGAAAGCAGTCAGCCATTTTTGCACCGTGCAATGACTGAGCACTGATTCCTACAATTGAGGACAATCTGTATTTAACATTTTATTTTTGCAAACATTACTAAAGTCATTGCTGCAGGTGGCCTAAATTTATTTAGTAAAAGCAATAAATAAACCTTCAAAAAGAAAGAATGGGAAGATTATTATTGTCTGATTTTTTTTTAAATAGTAGCTGTTGCACCTTATTTTTGGATTCTCAAGAAAGAGGAGAAAATGACTTCTTCTTACTTGACAATGTAACTGAGAAATGGGAAGGCATTTTCAAGCCAGCCATGCCAGAGACGTGTACCTGCAAAACAGCAGCAGCCCCAGGAGAGCAGTCAGAAAAGGTATGATGGTGTTTATGCATATGATCAAAGCCCTAGAATGCTGATATGGATGCAAGAGGAGAGGGGGTTTCCCTCCAACTGCAGAGTCACAACTGCCATTTTGACTTTTTCACACACACGTACACACACACACACACACACACACACACACACACACACCCCTGCAGCAGGATAACACATACTTAGATCCAGAAAATGTTTACAGATAGTCCTTGATATACAACCATAATGGAGTCTGCCCATTATGGTTGTATGTTGTGATTATTGTAAAGTGGATTAGGGTTGGTCATAACTCTGAACAGTCACTAAATGTAGTTCTGGAAGTTTCCCAGTTGCTGAAAGACTACAGTAGTAGCCCAAATCATGAATGAAATGAAGGCCCTAAAATGAGGACAATGTCTGCATCATCATCAACAACAACAATTACATTTTGTTCTGTTTCTCTTCCCCCCACAAGTTATGTCATGTCATATAGTCAAACTAGGCTAAGTGGGATCAGGCCCAGTGAGTATTTGGATGGGAGATGCCCAGGAAATCTCAGACAAGTGTCAGATAGCATCCCAGATGCAAGCAATGGCAAACTGTTGCCCAAAACCTTACATGGCTGCCCATGAAGTTGTCAAAAATGAAGCTTTACCTTTTTTAAAAGCATTTTATATTCTAAAAACAAGAAGGGAAAATATGCTCCTTTGTGACTGGATTTAATAATATTAAATAACTACACTTTTTTATATTAATAGTGTCTGGATCTTTTATTTTCCCCTCTCTAGGTTATTTTAATTACTATTAAGCATAATCGTGTTGCTCTTCTTCTCCACATAATATGCCACCAATAAAACTATCAACAACAACAATAATCAAGAGATGAGATTGTAAGACTTGATTTATTTCTTCTCAAAGAAATAGATGTGTAAGGGACAGATATAGAAGTAAGCAATATAGATGGTATTTTAGACATTAGCATTCAGGATCACAATAGACAAGACTAATGGTCCATTTTATGTTGTCAAAGTGTATATTTATTGAGAATTATCTTATCCCTAAATGGAGGCACAAATCCAGATTTTTGTAAAATAATTTTTACTGTGGGTACAAAATCAGCAACATTTTTTTCTTCCGTAAAAAATAATAAAAGCTCAGAGTCACTTGATAATGAGATGAATAGTATATAAACAAAATAAAGAAAATACATTTCCATTCCTTCAAATAGAAATGGAAATTGTAAAAAAAAATGTAATGCTTAATTACACATAAACACTCTCTTGGCATCCAATCACACATACTTAGCTGATGCACAACTTGCCAATGTATCATTTCAAATACAAGCTTGCATTTTGTAATGGTTGCTCTAATTCTAAAAACTGCCTCTAGCAGAGCTTGGTATTGTCAGTTGAAAGGTGTGTTGGGTTGTGGTAAAAAGAGTGTTAATTTCCTCTGTGAGTGGACTAGCAAGCCATTTGCAAAGTCTGGACCACATATATAGACTAGTTTCACTAATTAAATGCTTGCATGACAAAAATAACGAGAGACACAGATTTTTTTTGATTGCAACAAGCAGGAGCAGAGCTTTATTAAGACAATTTTCATCAGTATCAAAAGCCAAAGGACAGACACAAATGAACTGAAGAAAGATAAAGTATGTCCTCCAAGAAAGTGCTTTAAAGAGTGGATTAAGGAGAATGGGGAAATCTTTTGCGATGGTCATTGACATAGAAATGGAAGAGCAGAGACCAATCTATTGTGAGGATTTATGCAGAGAATTTGTGCAGATGTTGATCTTTTTTGATCATAGAAATTCTTGGAGGAATTTGGTAGTATCAGTCACAAGATTTTCTTCCGTGTCCTGTTGAAAAAGACAAAGGAGAAAATGAATCTATGGAGTAATTGGCAAATATGAGCAATAAAAACTGAGAGGCAAAACTCATGGGTTTTGGTGGTCAGATGTATTTTCTAAAGACCAGAACAAAATATGTTTCCTGCAGAGACTCTCTTTATCTTGATAGAATGAAATAAACAAGCAACAAACCCTTTGATATTATAGTTTGCATATTACTTTAGATATTTAAAAAAAATTCTGAAAAAGAAAAACATTTCAGATACTGAACAGCAGCAGATGCTATACATTTATTTAAATTAATGCCTCTTGTAACTTTCTGGAGACAAGCTGTATTACGGTGTTCTGAAATTTTTTTTAGAACTTTTCTAAATCAACAAAACAATATTTTGTTTCAATTTATCATCGTCTTTCTGATGATATTATTCCAGGTTCTTTGTTTCATCTCAAAGGTAATCTATCTTTGCCCAGACCATCCTGGGCATCCATAAGGTTGACAGAAAATTAAGATGTGTAGGAGAAGGAATGACAGATCCTGGGGTAGAATTAAAAGAGGGATCAGCCTAGAATCTTTATGTAGCCACAAGTGGACCAAGTCCAACCTCCCTTGAATTCCATTGACTCTATATAACTCCAAGCAGATGTTAACAATTTGTTGAGAAGATTCCTGTGCATAGGTGGTTTAGCAATAAACCAGTATAATTGGGCCTTCACATATGGACATGGTTTTTTGCACCTGAGGAGATCACAGCTATGACCATGTGATCAAAACTCCATCCCTTGTTTAGGTGCACCTCACTGTGGGAACTGTTGATAAGGGACTTTTGTGCCTTTGAGTAGCCCATCAAAGGCAATCCTCCAAAAAGGAACAAAACTCCAGGATCAAAAAGTATGTGTTTGGAGGAGAGTGTTAAAAAAAACTTTAAAAAGTAAATGTTGAAAAAACTTGATAACTCTTTGTAAAAATGTTTGCAGGTGAAATAAAGTACCTCACAAAATTTCAAAAGTTACAGAAGAAGACTGGGATGGTAACATGTAACTGTTATGTTATATTTAAATAATCCAGACAAAGAAAATGGAAGGATTTCTTATATGGTGTCCTGAGAATCTAAGGTGGTACCTGGAATCAGGTGTGCTCAGGATTTAGATTTTAACATAGAAGGATCAACAGATATGCTAAATCCTGCCTCATTCCCGCCGCTCCATCAGCAACTTATATGAAGCCGCCAGTTTGGTTGCCATTTATACAAATTTTACATTGCCTATCTTTTGCTCTTCTGCCAAGCCAACAGTGATGTCCTCTGCCTGGTATAGACTCCAGCCTCAGACTTAGCTCTGGTTCTTACTACTAACCTGAGAAACTCGGAACTCTGCAAAATATAGCCTCCACCACTAGTTCCAACAACCTTAGTTGAACAAATGGATGGAACTGAACTCTCTGTTTAGGATAGCAGACGCAGAGGCCATTTTATTTGCAAACCCAAATGAAACATAATTCCTTAGGGTGGCAAACAGCTGCACAGATAATGGTCAGATGCAGCATGGTAGTTTTCCAGCATTCCTATTTCTGATTTTCCATAGTTAACTAGATTCTGCGTATTTTTCCCATTAAAAGGATTTCCATTATTATAAAAAGAAATATGCCACATTTGAGGTCATCTTTACTGATTAATATTATTCTTTCCTGCAAGCAGAAAAAGAACAGGAAAAAACATGTTGGTCATGATCATTCTCACCTGTTTTGCATGCCTGGGAATGTGAAGATGTAGGATAGGACTGAGGACGTGAAGAACTTCCTCCTCCAATATGTCCTCCACCGATGCCTCCTCCTCCACAGATGCCTCCTCCACTGAGGCTTCCTCCACTGACACCTCCTCCTACACAAACGCCTCCTCCACCAAGGCTTCCTCCGCTGACACCTCCTCCTACACAAACGCCTCCTCCACTGATGCTTCCTCCACCTCTTCTACCACCTCCATATCCGCCTCCAAATCCTCCTGAGCCACTGGAAGAAGAGAAATATAATCCATCCATCCATCCATCAACCACTAACAGAAACTCTTACCCACCCCTCAAATCAAGTAACTGTTATGACTTAGCATCAACTTCCAAGATTCCTTCATGCTCAAAAATATACTATGATTTAATCTGGGAAAGAATTGTACCTGAATTCTAGGAGAGCAGTGCCTAGTTAGTTTTGTCAATATTTGTCTACATGGACTAGTGGTCTAAGTCAATTCAAGGCAATATTGTAGCTTTGTTCACCATACTTATTCATCACCCTTTCCCTTCTTAATACTCAGGCCTTCTTTAGGCATTATACAGGTAGATTTCCCATCTTCAAAGTAGATTGCATAACCTCTGTTTCTTCTCCTATTTATGCCAGTGACATTTAATACTGCTGAATTTCAGTTCACAGGGAAGTCAGCAAGACTGGAGTTTGCGTATAACTCAACTCTACCCTTCTTGGCTTTCATGTGAACTGATAATCTGCAGTATTACTATTCTCTAGAGGCAATTCTAACTTCTGATTAAAAAAAAGTCACTGAAGCAATGTCAGTAAGGTTTGTGTTAAGGTTATGCAGAATGCTCACCTTTCGTGTATAATATGACATCCTAAAAGGGCTAGAATCTTTCAGGAGATGTTTGTGATTTAATGATAAATGATTATCAACACTCTTTGTTCAAAAGCCCAGACTCTTAACTCCTGTTTGGAAAGCAATAAATTCACATTTTCTACATCTCCTAGTCAACATACATTTCTTGCTGTCCTTCCTCAAGCAATCGGCGGTACTGACAGATTTCCTGTTCCAGACGAGTTTTGATGCCAAGGAGCAGCTGATATTCTTGATTCTGACTTTCAATCTCACACCGGATGCTAGCCAATTCTCCTTCTACGGGTTCAATCATAGCCTGAATTTGTTGCAGTTGCATGTTGTACCGACGTTCTGTATCCTCCAGATTGGTTTGCAGAGACTGAACCTGAAAATAGGGAGGCAACACATAGGACCTGATCTTCAGGTAAATGCTGAGGTTCTTTCAGCAGAAGGAAAAGGGGAATAGAAATATTTGGCTATTAGACAATCACTTGTATAACATGCTGACTATAATCATTTCCTCATGCTGTCACATACCATGCTAATTTGAGACTGGAGCTCAATCTCAAGGGTTTGGTACTCTCGTCTCAGTTCTGAAAGTTGATGGTTGCTTGACGTTATCTCCTGATCACTTGTACTGACTTGTTGGCGAACCTCTTCCATCTAAAATACACGAATGAATAAAAAGAAGAAAAAGAAAGAAAGTAATGGAACTGCATCTACATGGAGGCACAGTTGCCTCCAGAAGCTGTGAATACTCCAACATTGGAAGTTTTAAAAAGAGACTGGCCATTTGTCTGAAATTGTATAGGGTTTCCTGCCTGGGGGGGGCTAGATGACCTCCAAGGTCCCTTCCAACATTATTATTATTATTATTATTATTATTATTAATGTAGGTGGCATGGGAAAATTGGGAGGAGTGGCAGTGGAGTAGATCACGTTGGGATACTGATGTCTTTCTTCTTCTGAAAATACCTGATTCATCTTAACAGGCTAGTCCATTTATCTCTTTCTCCAAAGCCCTTCATTAACTGCACAACCCTCAAAATGGTATAATGGCACTGGTTGCTATAAACAATGCATGTTTTGAATGGGGGAAGGGATGGAAAAGGGGTAATTGTTGTTGTTTTCTCCTTATTTATGGCTTTCCCATAATTGAGCTATTACTGTCAATGAACTGCTGATCTGCTCCTTACAAGATGTTCTTATGTTAAGAATTATGCTAATCACTTCTTCCTCACCACCTGCAACTTCAGACATTTTTTGTGGGACTCTGACTCCTGTATTTCCTGCTTTTCAGCTCCCATTTACCCAACTTTATTCAGATTGCTTCTAGGATGTTTTGGGGATGTACAAATTGGTATTTGGTTATTTCTTGCAACCTGCAACTTGGGCTTCTCTTAGACTCTTGTAATCAAACCCCACAAAATATTTCTATATATTGCTGGTGATGAAAAGTGTTTACATTTTCTGATCACTGGAAGATGAACAGACCACTCAAATATATTTCACTTGCCTTGGTTTCATACCAGACTTCAACCTCTTTTCGGTTTTGTTCAATGATGTTTTCATATTCACACCGGAGTTGATCTAAACGTTGTTTCAAGTCTTGTCCAGGGGCAGCATTAACTTCAACACTGACATCACCATGGCCTCTCTGGCCTCGGAGTCCTCTCAGTGTCTGTAGCAATGGGGAAGAAGAAATGAATCATAAGAAATTGAAATTAAAAAGTATTTTATGGGCAGAATAACTTGATTTGTAATGTTAAAAAGCTCAAAACAGAGTAGAAGAATGTTTTACATGAAATGTTTTTATGAAAGCTCAATGCCTGGCATACATTTATTTTGTAATCCAGATCTATCTATGGACAATATAACTTCTTATAGTTCCATGACTTCTTCAATCTTCCCCCTTCCCTATCTCTGAAGTTAGAAAAGCAAAAGGACTGAACATGCCTTTGGATACTGTGTAAAAGTATTCTTAGAAAACCAACTACTGGTTGGTTATTCCCAGCAAAGATAATCATGGGTAGCTTTAGCCAATATTTTTATTTTCTCATGTATGAATCCTTTGGGTTTCCCAGACTCACTGTGGAAACAATTTTGTGAACAATCTACTCCCCAAGTTCTGAATTTGCCTACTCAACCAAAAGACCAGAGATTTTTTCCAACTCTGTGTGTGTGTGTGTGTGTTTGTACATAATATTTATTTATATCACAATTATTTATATCCCATATGTTTATCCATCATTCCCTATGAAAAAAATAAAAGAGGAAGTTGGCCTATAAAATGTGGAAATATGAGATTTTCTGAGAAAATATATTGCTGCATCTTCATAAAATGGATGGCAAGGTGCCACTTGAAAGACATTTATTTCCTGGGCACTATTTGGTTAGGAATTGGGTCACTGACTGTTTACTACAGAAGTATTATCTGGGCCACTATACAACAAAGGAACAGCAGTGAAAGATTTTAGGTATCATTCAATTCATGCTTTGAATTTTGTTCCCAAACAAACTTGGGTATGGTGGCTTATTGTCTAAAAAGTAAGAATCAGAAGCTCTGAATGTTAGAGTTCTGTTCAGTGGCCCTCTTACCTCCTCATGATTCTTCTTCAGACATATCAGCTCTTCTCTGAGAGATTCAAATTGCATTTCCAGATCTGACTTGGCAAGAGTGAGTTGATCCAAGAGTGGGCGCAATCCATTAATGTCAGCTTCCACATTCTTACGGAGACCAGCTTCAGTGTTATATCTAATCCATAGGAGAGTTTACAGGAAGTGTCATGATTACCACATTTGCAAAAAGTGTCCCAAAAACAAATCCTCTAGGAAAATGGTCAACAATCCCCCAAAGTACCATGAAGAGTGAAGATGCTCAGAGATTATTGAAAGCTGGCTGTTTATGTAAGGAGGAAAAAAAATGCATGGAAAAACAGGGAAGAAAGGGGATGAAACAGAGTGTCCTCCCAGATGAAAGCACTTCAAGCTGGAAAAATTCTGAAAAGGCACACTTCACACTATGTGATTGTGTGAAACCTCCCACCTTTGAATTGTACTATTATTAGCTACTAGGAGTTTGTAATCGAGAAAGTGGTGTATCCCTTCCTCAGGTAAAATCATTGAATTCAACAAAATTAGAAGGAAGCGGGTGAGAAATGAATTATACTCACTTCAACTGAAAATCTTCAGCAGTCATCCTGGTGTTATCAATATTCAGAATAATTTTGTTATAATCATCTGTTTCAGCAATAAGCTGAAATAAATAAATAATAGATATGTTTATGATACAGTAATAAGTAAATTGCCATGATTATTTTGATTGCTTGGGACAACTGATGTTGAAATACTTGGTTTTGATTTGCCTGTAAGATTACAATTTAAGAAATGTGACATCTGAAAAAGTAACACTTTTTTCTTCTTCTTCTGTCTTTCTTCTCCTACTATTTTTTGGTTGGATATTAGCTCTATTTTTCAGACCTGATTTTTATGGGTATCTGCTGTGTTTTGCTTATATTTGAAGACATGACCTCCTGCATCTATGCACCAACATTATTCAATTTTTCTGGCTGCTGAGTTTGTGACAGTTCCCACTGAATACCATTTTACTTGAAAAGGAAGGATCACTGATTGACCAACCACACCTATAGCCATTTGATGTTCCAGGTATGAACTAAAAAACATCCATACTTGAGTGAATGCCTAGATGGAATGTTCTGTGCACTACATGGAATCACTGGGCTGCCCACCCTCTTTCATTAAGGCAAATAAGGATTTGGATCCACTTCCCAAACTGATGTCTACCAATATTCTACCTCCTAGATAAGATATCAAGATATCCTAAAACACAGAGAGTGAAAGTAAAGGTAACATTTCCCATTTTAAAGTAAATACAAATATGTGTACTTCGTAGCTAATTATCACTACAAATTTCCTTGCCTGCTAGGATCCTACTTTTGTCTAATACCTTTCTGTTGATCTTTAATATATTTCTTCCTTTTAGTTTCGTCTCTAAACAAATATTTCTAAATAATTTAGTCTCATAATATATGATGTTCTCAGTAAATCTATAAGAAGAAACTAAAATCCCTGGTAAAATATACCTCTTGGAAACCCTGCTGACACCAACCTGTTACTTTTTTACATTATATGACAGATCTGTACTAAATACAGACTGAATTATAAAATGATGCATTGAGAGAATTAAGAATATTTACAATTAATAACTCTTAAATTAATAACTATGCTTTGTCATCATATCATTATTAATTACAGTCTAACAAGTCTCAGTTTCTATAGCATCTGTTTAAAATATCACAATGTGGTAAATTTATTTGTCACCAATGAACCAATTTAGCCTATGTTTATTTGGGAGATAAAAAATATCTGTGAAGTGATCCAGGTTCTAAGGGCAAATGTAATTTGAAGCATGCATCTCTGACAAGAATGTCTCCTTCCAGGACTGCTATGGCAACCTTTCTCATTTGCAGCACAATCTTGGAAACACCTTTGGTTCAAGGTGTTGTCAACTCATATTTCAAATGTCAGTGGACTATTGCACAATCCTAATAAATAATTTAAAAGGTTGCTGCCCCAACCACCACTACAAAATAACAAATTCTTATACTGATGTTGTCTTTTTCCTCATTAGCTCTTTTCCTCTTTCTATAATGTAAGAAGGAGCAGGAATATTATTGATTTTGATTTCTCATTTACTTAGAAAAGCTATAGATGATGAAGAATTAAATTTTATTTAACATTAGTGTGCAGGAAACAATTGATATAGGATTAAACTCTATGCTTATTTACAAAATGATTGTTTCCATCTTGTTTCATCTTCTACAACACTGATTGTGATCTCCCTTTTTGACACTTCTCTTTCCAAATTCTCTTTCATTTTTATGGGCCTTCCCACTTCATCTTTTACATGGATGGCACTAAAGCTGCAATCATGATCACAGATTGTATACATACCTCATTGTAGAGTTGATCAATTTCTTGGTAATAGTGACTATAATCCTTGTCTGGGCCAATATCACCATGCTTCTGATACCATTCTTTGATCCAGATCTCAAGCTGACAATTTTCATCTTCCAGTCTTTTCACCTGGTCCAGATAATTAGCCAGGCGATCGTTAAGATTCTGCATGGTTGCCTTTTCATTGCTGGAGAGGAGACCTCCATCACCACCACCAAAACTACCACTGCTGAATGGGTAGCAGGTACCACCACCATAGCTGCCACTGCCATAACTGCCACCGCCATAGCTGCCGCCGCCATAGCAAACACCACCATATCCACTTCCACCATAGCCACCATAACTTCCACCACCATAGCTGCCACCACCATAGCAGCTACCTCCATAGCTTATTCTCCCTCTACTAATTCTCCCACAGCTACCACTGCTGAAGCCACCTCCTCCATATCCACTCCGGGACCCTCCATAACTTTTTCCAGAAAGTCCTCTTGAGGACCCTGAGGATGTAATCTTGATGCTGCCTCCACCACTAATCCTGCCACCACCAACACTGCTTCCACCACCCTTAGTGCCACAACTCATAGTGATCTAGATTTAAAATCCAAATCTTAGAAAAGCCCCACTTTAGCTGCACAGCCTGGTACTCAGATTCCAACTGCAACTCTTCATCCCAGTTGTCCTTATTTATATCTCCTGTGGAGGGAGTTGCCACAAAGGCTGCTCCTGGTCCCTCCCGTGGTGTTTGCCAATCCCTTTGTTTATGCCAAAATTTATCTCCCAATGGGAGAGGTTTTTTTAAAGTTATCAAAAGGAATCTAATACGTAGCTGGCTTTGTCACTCCCACAGAAATTTTAAGTGATGATAAAGATATAGCTGCATATTCAGCCTTCTATTTTGCTAATTTTTCTTTTATGTCTCAACTTTTGTCTGCCAGCACATCATCATCTTTGGCAGTGAAGGAAAGTGCCTTCATAAGTCTGTACATACTGGCCATCCTTGAACAAATTAGTTATGCTTAGTGATAATTCAATAATTCATTGAAATCAGTGGGGCAAGGTTGTGAAACTAATTTTATTCTTCATTTTACATTTTAGGATATGCCAATAAGAAACAAATATCATTTGTTAGTTCTCACTGCTCAATATCACCACTATACTTTTATGGAACTGATATTCTTTATATTCCCTCTAGCAAAATAGAGAAGGGACAAGAGAGAAATTGATGCCAACTCTTAATTGCCCCATTGACTCTTAGCAACCACGGTTCTTGGACATAGTAAATTAATACAAACAAGATTCTGGGGAGGATGATCATAACACTTTAATATATTTTTAATTAATTTAAATAGCTTTATGGTTTATATGTTTTGCTTTGATAGTTATTAAAATACACAAAATTAAATAAATTGCATAGATTTTTTTTCATAGTAGAATATAAGGTAGAGTAATTTTTGCTCAATAAAGAGAATTATTTTTAAAATTTGGAAGAAGGGCCAAATTCCCACATGGGAGGAGGAATATACCGTAAAAAAGTGAAATTAAGATTTTTAACCTGGTTTTTATTTTTCTGGATGAGATTCTGGATATTTTTTCCCCCACTTACTTTGTGATGTAGTGGCAACAACATTTAACTCTAATTTCTTGACAAGAATGTATTTCAATAGAAGACATTGAATACTAAGAGGCTAAACATAAATGGCTTTCCAGCCTAATTAAATTCCTTCCTTGGATATCTTTTTAATATTTCTTATTTACATTGTTCCTTTGGGTGGTTCTTTTACCCTTAGCACAGCACAGGAACCTGCATTGAGAACCTGTGTACAACTGGCACCATGTTCTATTTAAATTTCCACTTGTATCATTCATTAATTCAGTATTTAGCTGAATTTTTAAATATTTACCTGGTATTACTGAACCATTTTTATAACCTAGCCGACTGGTGTTGAACATAGAGGTGGGGAAGAGGGTGGGAAGTCTAAGGTGCACCAGTGCTTGTCATCTTTAATTCACTGACCATCTTTTGACACATTTTATTCCATAGCTTATTATATTTTGCTTTATCATATTAATGTTGTTTTCATACAGATAATGTTCCTGTCCAAATCAACAAGTTTAACAGATGCTTCTGTTTTATTTAATCTTTCATTATGAGGTACCAGTTTGGACCAAGATCTTTTTCATAGTTCATCTCTCCATTCTGTAGAGGAGGTTGTCCAAGTGGACATGTATATTACCATAATTAACACATTTGGGTTGCAAAAAATCTGGATGACTATCAGATATAGAGCACCTAGTAGTTTTTCAGATCTTCCTTTAGTGTGCTTACTATACAGCAGTATAAAAAGCAATTACACTGTATTCCAATAAACTGACATAATTGAAAGTTATTGCATACATCTGAATGTTTGTAATATTTCAAAAGATGTATTTGAATGTACTATGACTAAATGTACTATGACCATGAGTAGACTCTCTTTGAATGCTTAAAAATTAATATGATAGTAGTTAAATGCATGGGGTTGGGGTAAGACAGTTGTACTAAATCAGTAGATTTTTATTTAAATGGTGTGTGTGTGTGGGTGGGTGTGCTTGTGCACAGTTTTATTTTATATCACAGAGGAGAAAAGAACATGAATCCAATACACAGTAGGAAAATTTGTAGAAGTAAGAAAACTGAAATGTACACAACCATTCCTTCTTATTTGTTACATATTCATGTGGTTTGGTCCAGTCCATCCCCCAAAATCAAAAGGCTAACGTCAGAATTTTTTTCCCCCAATCAGATTTGTTCCTTCCTGAAATGTTGCAATTAGAATTTTTGAGTAAGATGCAGCTTACTGTAATTATAGCAGCTAAATCAGGTTCAGCAGCATCAATCTATTGCCTGTTAACTAATTTAGGAAGAGGAGAAAAAACAGAGCATCTGTCCCAACCCTCTTTTGTTCCCTGGGTTGTGCTGCTACTGCTAAGATTTAAACACTGATAAAAGAAGTATTTTCATCTTGTGTACAACTCACAGTGATCACACCCAGAGTTTCCTCATCGATTACCTTTCCTTACTAAGCATCTCATACTAAGCAAACATCTCATTTAATAAGTCTTCCCTAAACTGTCTAAACTATGCAGATGTGGTTTTGCTAATATAACCTACACATATTCCAGAGACTGCTTACTTCAGCTCTACTTTCCCCTTTACTCGCTCTTTAAACAAGGTTAACAAAGATGGGACTGTTTTCTAAATCCTTTCTCTTTTGGTTTCTCTCTTTTTGTTTGCTTTAGCCAACATATACAACTGCATACAGGTTGTTCATTTAGTGACTGTTGCAAATTACAAAGGTACTGAAAAAATGACTTATGACCATTTTTTACCCTTATGACTGTTGCAGCATTCCCCATGGCCGCATGATCAAAATTCAGGTGCTTGGGAACTGACTCATATTTATGACGGTCGCGGTGTCCTGGGGTCACATGATATTCTTCTGTGACCTTCTGACTAGCAAACTCAATGGGGAATCCGGATTCACTTAACAACCATGTCACTAGCTTATCAACTGCAGTGATTCACTTAGCAACTGTGGCAAGAAAAGTTGCAAAATGGGGCAAATTAAATTCCTTAATAAATATTTCACTTAACAACAGAAGTGTTGTGCTCAGCTGTGGTCGTAAATTGAGGATACTTGTAAACAATT